ACTGCACCCATGTAGTTCAGTGCCGCGGAAGTCAGAAGAGGGCGTTGGATTCCCCTGGAACTGGAGTAAAGGACGGTTTGTAGCCACCATGTGGGTCCTGGGAATCGAACCTGGGTCCTCTGCAAGAGCAGTCAGTGCTCTTAACCGCTGAGCCATCCCTCCAGCCCCAAATTTTACCCTTTTTACATATCAATCATTTCTTCTAAAGGAGCCCATTCAGTACACCCATCTGAAGTTGGCAAATATTTAAGTTGGAGCATGCCACTGCTTTTTGCTGGCCTCTTAGAAAACTGAAAAGTATCTTTAAAAAGTATCTAGGAAATAGCATTGAAGTAAGAGGAAAGGCCTCAGAGCTAATCAGCTCTAGTTCATGACGTTTCACACTGAAAGCTTGGAGGATGCTTGTTTTCTTCCCTAAAATACATTCATGCTATTATGTTGGTTTCTTTCAGCCTTACCATTGTTTTCCCAAAACAAAATATTCCTTATGGAGTTAGTTCCTCAGCCTAAGAAAGTATCTAATCTATGTAACAAACTCATCAAACACTTGTCAAAGGACCATTGTAACCACTTTTCTGCCCCACACGCCTTTTTTGATTTGAGAATACAGATGTTATTACACTTAAAGAGAGAAAAATTTAATCCAATAATTCTAATTTCTATCAAAATTCAAGGTACATTTAGAAAAAAAAATTGTGTCCATGGGCATGTGTGTTGGATGGCTTTTGTTCTTGTTGTTGCTGCTGCTTTTTTTTTTTTTTTTTTTTTTTAAATAGCTGGTCTCCAATTTGCTGGTCTCCAGTTCTTCATGTAGCTGAGGATAATTCTGAACTCCTGATTCTCTTGTCTCTGTCTCTTCAGAGCTGGGATTACAGGCATGCACCATCATGTCTGGCTGGACCAGTAATATTAAAATATTATAAACAAAAGTTAAGTAATGCTTTCAACTCTCTGCACCCCTGGTCCTTCCATCCAATTTTTTATAAAAAAAATAAAAAATTTGGGCCTAAAACAGCAAATTCTTTCAAATTTTCATTTTCCTATGACTTGTACCATTATTAATCATACATGTGATTAATAATGCCACTTAGGAACATTTTAGAGATTATCATATATATATATATATATTCTGCAGCCAAAAGGTTTATAACAACCATTAATGAAAAAAATCTAATAAAACAGTAAAGACAACAAAGGAGGATACAAAGCATTTAAAATTAAAGTCAAAGAAGTGTAGAGGTGAAAAAACAAGCCACAGAACTTGGGCTATTCAAGTGACTGCTCTTTTTTCCTACCATACATATAAACACCTATAAGAGAGGTGGTAACTTTAAAGACCTTACACTTCAGGAGTGCAAGTGATTCCAAAATTAAACAACATGTGAAAAAACACAAACACCTTGCTTTCCAAAGTTAATTTAGGACATTGAAAACAAAAGCTAATTTAACCTCTGAATGTGTGTGCAGTATGTGTTAACTAATTAAGCAAATTCAGTCTAGGTTATTATAGAAATGGGGTGAAGACTTTCTGAAATAAAACATTTCCTTAAATGAGAATCAATTTGACAAGTTGCAAAAGTCCCTTACCACTCTGGGTACAGGAACCACAGGCTGCTAATTAGCTGAAATACGACAAAGGCAGATTTTTTTTTAAGGGCTCAGTACAAGTCTGGAAGATTCCTTTGTAACAAGCGCATAACTGCTTTTGAACAGTGAATTCTCTTTGTTTAAATGCCTTTTTAAAAGGGAGACAACTGCCTACAAGACAAGAGCTCTATCACCAATGACTAATTCAAAGGTCTTAAGATTTTCCTGCTGTATGTGAAGAAAATAAAAGGACAGGACAGGACGCTCTCAGGGGGAAAAGACAACACACACACACACGCACACGCACAAGTCTCACACACACACACACGCACACGTCTCGCAAATAATTCCTCCAGTTCTGTGACCAGATCTTCCCAGCCTTCCCTCCAACGCCGCTGATCAAGCCATAAAGCCCTGGAAAGGAAGCCGGGCTCTGGGCCGCCCCAGCAGAAGCTCGCGCTCGCGGGCCCATGCGGCAGGTGCCTGCAGCTGGCGCGGGCTCCGCCATGGTCCCACAACCCCGCGCTCCGCAGCTGATCCCCGGAGGGCAGCGCTCGCGTCCCATCGCAACCGCCGGCCGCCTCGGCCTCCGACCCACCTGCCTGCCCCGCCGGCCCCCGCCGCCCCGCTGGCTCCCGCTCCGGGCCGCAGCGCCATCTTGCTCGGCGGCCACCGCGCCAGCAGCTGTCAGCTGAAGACGGGCACTTCCGGGGCAGACGCCAGCCCCACCTCGCGGGGCGGGCGACGGGGCGGGACCGCGCGCCCACGTGACTCCAGGCGCCAACCCCGCGGCACTCTTGGCCCGTGACCCCCGCGCCGCCTGGACCCCCGGCTGCTCCCTTAGTTGGCTGATCTGCCGTCCTCCACTGCACCCGTTTGCAGACCTGAATTTGGACTAGTGCAGAGTAGATCGAGCCCTAATTTTTAAACAGGGTGATGGGTGCACCAGTGCTCTTTTGCGGTTCCTTCACACGGGAATAGATGGATCCTGAATGATCTTCTGACAGCTCCCCAGCGCTGGGCAGCGACGGGCTGTATTTCCTAGCGTTCTGGTTTCTTTCGCAATCCGCCTCAGACACTCAAGATATTCAAAATTTAGTAAATCGACCAAGAGCACATGAACGTAGCACACATGAAAATCCAAGGTGCACTCGAAATTCTCGTGTTTGATTCTGCCATTGTGCCCCTTACTACTTTCCCTTGATTCTTTCAAGCGAGGAGCAAAAACACATTTGGAAATCAGAGCACAATTCTGAATTTGTACAGGGTATGATTTTTATTGACTCCTCCCCCACCCCCCAAATCAAGCTACTTGGAAAACGTGTTGGGTGTAAACTTTGTCAAGCCTTCAAATCATTTTTGGCGTGCCCCCCACCCCCCTCCTGCTTTAAGGCTTTTACTAGGAAACAATTGTAATAGGTTATCAGTTACTGGACATAAGCAATTAGTTTCATGTACATTTAAAAATCTTCTGTCCTTAGGAGTTATTACTGCCATTTTAGAAATCAGAAAAACCAATGTTGAAAGAAGTTCATATAAGCTTCCCAGATTCAGAGCTGAAAGTAGCAAGACCAGGATTCATACCCAGGACAGTCTGACTCCAAAGCCCTTGCTCTTTTAACTAGCACCAGGTCCATTATTATGTTTGTCTTGCTTATTCACTAATTTCACTTTTCCTCTTCCTGGGAGAAAACTAAAATTCCTGTAGTACATAGTTCCAACTAATATACAGGAGTTTAAATTCAGTATGAAGCCACTGTCAAACAAATAACAGGTCTTGTAGACCCTGCGTGGATCAGGGGGTTGCTTAAGAATGAACAGTTACAGAAAATAAGGAAGTATGCTAAGGATAATAGATGTGATCTACTTGTTCAATGTTGCCTATTAGTATCTACATTTGCAAAAATAAAAAAATCATGTACTTAGCCGGGTTGTAGTGGCACATGCCCTGTAGTCCCAGCACTTGGGAGGCAGAGGCAGGCAGATTTCTGTGAGTTCAAGGCCAGCCTGGTCTACATAGTGAATTCCATGACAGCTGGGGCTACAGGGAGACCCTGTCTCAAAAAGACCAATTCCCCCTCCCAAACAAAAAAACATACATTGGTCCCATTGAAATAAATTCTGAAGATGAACAACTTTTTGCCCCATCTATTCAAGACGGGTCTCCTCTTAAGTCTGTAACCCCCGTACTTCAAGAGGCCGAGACAGGAGGATTGTGGTGAGTTCCAGGCCAGTCTGGTCTACAGTGAGATCCCATCTCAAAACACAAAAAGTCTCCATTGCTGACTTTAGAACAAAAAATGAAATGCTGAGAGTGAAGCTTAATTCAAATGCTGTTATCCAGATTACAGCACTGAGTACTGATCTCAATCATGTCGTTCTAGGCACCATTCTTAACTGCCTTCGCTTGTATAAAGTCCTTTAATCTCACTGTGCAAACAACAGAAAAACTTGCACACAGCACATAGCCCTGAACATCACAATCCTTCAATTTGGCAGAGACCTGCACACTCAGTGAATGAAGGCCATCAAGCCTCAGCAAAGATAAGCACTGAGGGAATGAAACCAGGTGTATCATGTAACAGGAACCTTCTTCCTTGTCAGAATAAAACACTGTTATCAGTTTTCAAGCAAAATCATCTTGAGTGGAAAGAGAAAGGAAAGAGCATGGTTAAATGATGGAGAATGAAGACAGAAGAGGCTGATCATAATCTTAGAGTTGCCACATTATGACAGTTAAGTATGAGCTACCTCCCTAATAAGGTCCAAGTAAACTTAAACAGACCAAAGGTCTTTAAATCCTGGAGAACTTGAATAACCAGCCACAGAAAAGGCACCTCCATAATTATCATGGCTCACTCCACAGAGGCCATTAGCAAAGAAATACTAAAGAATGAGGTAGGTTTCTTCTTAGTCACTTGCCATGCTTCTTATCCATCCATACCACACACATGTACACAAGCGTGGAAGGGGGCATGCAATCTCAGGGTTTTATTTTAAAATTCTGTTTCAGATGCTTCTCCACTGCATATACCACACTCTCCTTCATACTTGAAGGGTAAAATCCTTAAGTCTACCACATTTGGGTGCTATTTTTAGTAAAAGCTCTTGTTCTCCTATAAGAAGTATCTCTCTGGTTTCAAGCAGAAAATGTCAATGCACACTATTTCCACTGTATGATTTTCACCGGCAGAGTGAAATCTGGCATGATGCACTGATAGCTTATGACCATTGTGCACCACTCTCATGTACTTGTTGACTTCACACATTTGGTAGAGATGGTGATTAAGTAGTCCATGAAAATAGTCACGCAGGGATCATAATATTGATTTCCAGGATGGTCTCTTAAAAAGTCCATTTTAACTTTTCTTTTCAAGGGTTTCTTTCTTCTTGCTCTTTTGGCTGGTGACCTTTTTCCTATGAAAAAGAAAGACAAAGTGAATCAAAAATTCTATATATGTTTACTTCCATAACTCTGAGGGTTTAATAAACATGTATTGGAGCCTAATGTGTATCAATACATTTGAGGCACTAGGAACACAAAGATGTTACTAATTGGGCCTTTTATAAACAGAAAAATCATTATCTGTATGAGAAGCATCATACCCAACTCACTCCTACATATCATGAAAGGCCAATAACACCAATTCATATTGATTCAGTGTCTATTAAGTCCTAGAGCTGTTGTAAGTATACATGGGTTTACTCAAGTAACATTAACAATTTAGTATTCTCATTTTAAAGATGAAAATAAGGCACAAAATGGTTAAGTAACTTGCTGGTCATCACACATTAGTAATGTTAGACATAAACCTTGTCATTCTGATTCTATAGTTTGGTGAATGCCATTAAGTAATGCTAACAAAGGAAAAGGAAAAAATGACATAATAACCACTATTTGCATTCCACAGTAAGTTCTTTGGAATGTCAGCTCATCTAATTCTCAACTAAGACTGAGCAGCTGCTTGTACCACTGACACAAATATATGAGGAAGAAAGTATTACAATCCATTCTTAGGCTCCAAATCCAATTTGTCCTTCTGTCACACCAGGTTGGGTTTATAGTGCCTGGAGTGAGGTCCATTAGGCAACAAGGATTCAGGCTTGTAAGTTTAATGGGGAAGCTGAACTGAAGACATGAATTTAGTGTCATCAGTTGAGATATGCCTGAAGCTACCTACATCTGTAATAGAGAAATAGGTTAGAATCAGATCCTGAAGGTCTTGCTTGTATGTTGCGTCACAAAGGATGGTCTTTAAATTCGAAAAAAAAAAAAAAAAAAAAAAAAAAAAAGCAACCAAGCAAGTGAAGAGAAAACGCCACAGGGGATGGCTGAGATGCCGAGACTCAAGCCAATGTCCTCCAAGTCTCCATGCTCATGACAGTACACACCAGTCTTCGTGCCTTTGTTCACCTGTTCCTTTTATATACCTCCTTCAAGCGTTTTCTAACTATACCAGCCCATAAGGACCTTCCCCCTATCTAAATTATTACTTTAAAATCACTCTTAATAATTTTTTCATGTACACTCACCTCTTTCCCTAACTTCAGAAGAGCTGGCTTGTTTTATATTCATTTGTATACTTACCATGGCCAAGTATTTTGAAGTAAATGCCTACTGTTTTATGGAAGTTCTTCCTAGTGACTTTCACAAACAGATTTCATGTAACAGAAAGAAGCAATTAGCTTACTTCACAATAGGACCCTGGAACACTGATTACTCGTGAAGGAATTATTAGAATGGAGCAAGCTAGTGGAGCACATGTTCACCTAGCACTGGGAGAATGTGAAGACTTCTGTTCTCCTTAAGTAGGGTAATATAATTCAGATTATTCTGGCAAACCCTCCCCAAACATAGAGCTTATCACCAATGGACAAAATAATGTAGATCTGTACATATTTTGTATTTTGCTTTAAAATTCTAAAAAAAAGAAAAACACCTAAGCAAAGCTTTTATAATTTACTCAAACTCAAGTACTACTTTTTAGAGGTTATAGTGCACTTCATCATAAGCCAAAGATTATACTGAAATCCTGCCCAGGCTATAGAAGCATCAAGAATGGCTCGATCAGTGTCTGTCAGTGATCCTAACTACTGGTTTCAACTGCATTCCCTGATGCAGACAGTAGAACCAAGTGTGCAACTGAAATCTATTTTTAAATATAGAAGAAAAACCCCTGAGATGATTAATTTATAGATACAGAAAAATTCCAGCTTTAAAAGACACAAGTTCCCAAATTAGAGGCAACCCAAGACATTATTTTTGTCACATTCTTTTTTTTTTTTTTGTCTTTTTGAGACACGGTTCCCCTGTAGCCCCCCAGCTGGTCTGGAACTCACTATATAGACCAGGCTGGCTTCCACCTCACAAAGATCCACCTGCCTCTGTCTCCTAATATTATTTCTAAAAATGAATCCTAAGGAAAAATAGTTACAATTATATGACAGAGTCAAAGAGCAAATTTTCTTACCATATTATATATATATATATATATATATATACTTACTGTTTAGCTTGCTCTAAGAAATATTTTGGAGTTGTACTAATACTCTCCCTTTCCAATGGTTTCTTAATCATTTTTTTCTTTTGTTTGCTGGAAGTTATAAAGTGAGAGAAGAAATAAATCAAATGCAACTTCATTTAGCAAAGCTAAAATTAGGGGTTTTTTTTTTGTTTTTTGTTTTTTGTTTTTTTGAGACAGGGTCTCCCTTGTAGCCCCAGCTGTCCTGGCACTCACTATGTAGACCAGGCTGGCCTTGAACTCACAGAGATCTGCCTGCCTCTGCCTCCCGAGTGCTAGGATTAAAGGCGTGCACCACCATGTCCAGCTAATTAACAATTTTTAAATAATTCTAAGTATATTTCATTCACTCAATTTTTTAGAAGTTTGAATTTCAAGGATGAAAAAACTGGCAAGAAAGTAATATAAAGGCAAATGTTTACCTTAAAATGCTCTAAAAAGCTTATTACTGTTAGAATTACAGTATGTAAGAGAATATAAAATCCAGCGTGTAGGAAAGAAAGGTCTTGAAAGGCACACTTGGACACCTGTGCTCACAACAGCATTTTTCACAATAGCTATAATGTGGAAAAAACCTCAATGGCCCATCACCAGATTCTGAACAGGCAAATATACTCTGGTTATATGCATCTAAGGAAGGAAATTCTGACTATACGACATTGTGCAAAGTGAAATGAGTCAGTTACAAAAAGGCAAATACTGTATGCTTACACTTACATGAGGTACTTAAGAGCAGCTAGACCAGAAACATAAAACAGTGGTTGCCAGGGAGGAGGGACGGGGAAGATGGAAGTTACTTTTTAATGGATACAGAGTTGTAATTTTACAAGAGGAAGAGTCCTAGAGATGGGTGTGGTGATGAGTGCACAGTACAGTGAATGTATTTAACACCACTGAACTGTACACAACAAAAACCCAATGGCAGCAAGAATAGACAGTAAAAGAGCATATTCAGTTTGTAACATTTATAGTACAGTTCAACTCACAATTTTTAACTTTATGATCACACTACTCAGTGAAAAATGTACTCTGCATTTTGACCTTCCCAGCAAGCAATAGGTGCATTCGAGAACTCTCTCAAAATGCTGGGTGGCAGCAGTGACCCAAAGCCCAAAGTGAATCACTCAACAATGAGGGTAACAGATATTGTAAGAGGATGTAGCAGTCCACGTCTGTAATTCCAGCACATGGGCGGTCAAGGCAGGAAGACTGCTGTTGAGTTCCAGGGCAGCTTGGGCTACAAAGAGTGAGTTCCAGGTCAGCCTGAGTACAGAGTGAGACCCTGTCTCAAACACACACATGCACACAACCAACCCCTGAACAATACACTGGGTTACTAAAATTACAATGTTTAGTACATTAGATGTACTTAAATACACTGTCCACTTCAACATTTTCAACTTATAATGGGTTTATTGGACTATAACCCTGTTTTAAGTGAAGGACCATCTGTATATAAGATTAAAAGCATATAAAATTAAACATTGTGACATTCTGGGATGTATACTTATACCACAAAATAAACGAAAGGCAAGGAAAAAACAAAACCAAGCAAAAAGCAAGAATGTACATTCAAAGAGACAGGAAAGGCTCCAAGTAAACTTAAAGTGATACCTCAGGAGTTTCTGGAAACCTTTTATGTATTCAGGTACAGGACATCCGGTCTGCTGGATAACATTGGCAACACTGAAAAAGGAACCCATAAACATAAACTTGTGCCTTGTTAATTAACACTGATGTACACCAACTCTCTGTACAGCCTAAGAGGAACTAAAATGCCACAGAGTATTCCAGTACAGTGTTCTGATATTATCAATTATAGTCAAATGGAACCATATTGGATTTCTGAGAGAACTGTCCACTGGACTGAGATAAATATGCTGATAAATAGCTTTAAATAGTAGTTATTTCAAAATAAAAAGCTACTAGGCCCAATCTTAGAGGAAACACTGCAGGACTGGCATTGCAAGTTTTCTATATACTCCTCCCAATAAACTTATGGAGAAAATATAACAATCTCCAATTCACAGATGGAAAATAGAGGGGTATGGTTACATTGACATTGGGGTCATTAGTTATATACTTGTGGTTACTAAGGAGATCTTATGCCCACTGGGGCTGTTGCAACACACACCTATATATAGACAGGTCTGCTTAAAGCAATACAAAGGCTGACAGACTGGACACTTAGAAAGTACATATCAAGAGCTGGGCATGGTGGCACACATCTTTAGTCCCAGCACTTGGGAGGCAGAGGCAGGTGGATCTCTATGAATCCAGGGTCAGTCTGGTCTACATAGTGAGTTCCAGGCCAGCCAGGGCTACACAGTGAGAATCTATCTCAAAAAAAACCAACCCTCCAAAACAAAAAATCCTCATTATCAGAACTAATAGATCAAAGTACAACCCCTTTTGGCCAAAACTAAATTTCAGTTGTTACTAATGTGAAGTGCTATCAATTATCCCTCAATCAAAAATTACTGTAGGCAGCCAAATTACATAAACTATTATATAATTTATATATTAAAATTATTTCATATTTATTAATTACTAATTAAATTTATTATTAATTAAAACAAAAAATATCAGAACTAATAGATCAAAGTACAACCCCTTTTGGCCAAAACTAAATTTCAGTTGTTACTAATGTGAAGTGCTATCAATTATCCCTCAATCAAAAATTACTGTAGGCAGCCAAATTACAAATTACA